TCATCACTTTATCTGCCACTTTGGAACCTTGTATACCTTTGATCAAAGCCTAACTACTCTTTAAAAATTAAATATTCTTTTTACACTCTCTGGAATGAAATCCTTGTTATACAAAAGCTTTTCAGAAATTTGTGGAAAATGGAATTAAATATTTGGTACAAAGATGGTTTGAATCCATGCATTTGAGGCTCTTCAAACAGTTGATGAAAAAAACTATGCATGGATTTACTTTTTTGCACCAAAATAAATTTAGCTTTGAATTCCATTTTCTATGCACTTCAAAAAAATTTATGGCTACATAATTTTTTTATTGCATTTGATTTTATGACTCAGTTTCATAGACTCTGGGATTCCCCCAACCCCTCCCCCCGTGGTGGATTCCTCCACTTTATTGCAGTATTACAGTTCAAATCCAGTCATAATTCTTTCGTTGCAAGCATGTACTTTGCATAGTGTCCAGCGTCTGATTGTCCAGATAAATTCAACAGTTTATTGGGGAGACCATCCCTGATCTGAAGGCAGAGATGGCAGAATATCGCCCTGACCCATTAAAACCACAACATAACATCAACAACGGTTTACAACCTTATGGAGTTAATTGACATGGTATTGAGTGATCAATATGATCAGAAAATTCAAGTTCTTAGCCACATCCTGTGATTACTTCACTGACATTTCAATTTTAGTAATTTTAGTATATAAACAACTGGCTGCTATATACCTTAAAATGGCTATAGGGTACTATTCAGCTGTCTCATGTCTATTTTCAATTTTGTATTTAGTAGTTTGTAGTGTTGAAGCATAATTTTTATTGAACTTGGTAGATTTTGGGATAGTCCATGCTGGCTTATAACTCTAACAAGGCATTTGTTAACAGTTGAGGCACAGAACAGTTTTAGGAGGGGTTTGCAGAGAAATCTTCAATACCTTAGTGAGGAGTAACTTATCTTTGTGTCCTACCTAGTAAGGTATATGGGAGTCCAGGCTAACTGCTTCCTGTCTGGTGCTGAGCTTTCCTTGTTGTTTTCTGTCTATCTAATCTAACTTTTTTTTTTTTTTGCGGGGGGGGGGTGCCTCCGGAGTGACCCTGATGATCATTGCAAGAGATGGTAGGGATCCAAAGTCTATGCACTTTTTGCAAAGTCTCCCCCATCACATGTCTGCATGTATCCATACACATATGGATAAAACAGGGAGAGGACTCCTTTCCTCTGACTGCACTCCAACAGAGCCAATTGTATATTCACTTTGATGGCTGAGCCTACCCATGGACATTAAATGTTAACTTTCTCGAATAACAATTAATTCACATGTATCTATTAATTACAAAAGCAATATAGAACAGAGGGGGAAGAGCATCTTTAATACCACATCTGAACACAACAGCTGTACTTTTCATATATTTCTGTTTAGTATTTAAATGCATATTTTTATATACTTGGAGTAAATTTTCAACTTTAAAAAAAGCACTGATTCTTTCCAAACCATTTGACTTCAGAATGGTATACATATATTTGGATAATTAAGAGATGGAGTCAGTAGAGTGGCACAGCAGGTTAACCTATTGACAGCAAGATGGGCATTATATAACATGCCACGTTTGAGTCTCCGCCTCTTTGCTTCTACTCCAGCTGCATCCTAATGTGCCAAGGAAGGCAGTACAGACTGGCCCAAGAGTTTGGGCCCTTCCCAAACCATGTGAGAGATGTAGATGAAGTTTCTGGCTCTTGATTTTAGTCTGAACCAACTCTGGCTGTCACTACTATTTAGGGAGTAAACCCGTGGATATGAGATCTGTTTCTCCCTGTCATTTGACTTCCAAACAATGTTAAACATTTAAAAAAAAATTATTTTGTTCTTATTCTACTTAAAAGGAAGACAGCTACCCACACCTACATCTTCCATCTGGTGTTTCCACTCTCCCAATACCTGCAGCAGCCAGCACTGGGCCAGGCTGACACAAGGAGTCTGGAATCTTTCCACAGAGTGGCAAGGAGCCACTAACTAGAGTGGTCACCCGCTTCTTCCCAGGGAGCATGTTAGTGGGAAGCTGGAACTGAGCTGGGAGCTGAACCCAAGAACTCTGATAAGGAATGTGGGTGTTTTAATTGCAAGGCCAAATTCCTGGCCCTGGTCTGTCTGATGCTGGTATAGCCGTGTAATAAAATCACAGATGGCATCGTCAGCGGCCTTAGACCTAAGGGCTGCAGTTAGACATCGGCAGTGACCCCGAATTTAAATAATGGCACTTTTACTGTCAAGAAGAAAAAATAAATTTTGCAAAACAGGCAAGGTGGTAAGGAAGGGGCATATACAAGGCTTCTCTGGTAGTTATGAGGTTGAACCTACTAAGATCGCACCTGTCAACTTGGTTGTGGCTGGCTTCACTTGATTAGTATCTCAATTTGGCATCTGCCTAGGTCATCTTTACTTTTTAGGATTTATGTAACTTGCTCTTCCACTTAGAGATCAATATTTATTTCCTGTGAACTTTTCAGGAAAAACAGTGACCTTAACAGGATGGAATCGTGGTGTTTCTTTTCTTTTGGTTTAGAGTCTGTTTTAGACATGCACTCCCCAAATCGGCACATTTTACAGACAGACTGGGAAGGCTCTGCACTTCTGAAGCGTGCAAAACAACCGGACACTCTTCACTGCCAGCTCGGCCGGGTGAACTCAGGGGAGATGGCCCTTAAGATTTTTGTCTTTACTTGGTAAATTAGGTTTAATAACAAAGACTTCTTTTGTCATATGGTAGGTAGTAAGATATGCAGAACTTCTAGAAATAGTGCAGATGCGAATGTAATTATGCTTTGTAGCAAGGAACATGAGGCTTTTTCGCTTGATTTTTAATCCAAGGTTTACTTTCCTCTCCCTGACAATTTAAGGGCCTCTTCTCCAATTCTCCCATCAGTAAGAGTGTGTACAGGGAGTGGCAATCTCAAAGTAAACAGGATGAAAAGGTATATACATAACACAAGAATTTGGAAATAATCCACTATAGGAGTCTTCCCAAACTGGCTGTATTTGAGCCTGAGGTGAAGCGATAGCACTGGCTTTTCCAGGCTGGAAAATCTCCTTGGCATCAGGCAGGAAAGGTGGTGATGAGGGTGGAGATTATGTTCCAGAACTGGAACCTTCCTTCAGGCCAGAGATGTGATTCCCCAGGGACTACACTGACCAAAGGTCAAGCTGGCATTTTAACCAGGACTTGGCACAGTTGGCGCTTGCTCACTGGACCTCCAGCACCTAACACGTGCACAGCGGCTGCACGACAGCTTGAGACCCTGTCGTTGAACCCTAGGGACCCAAGCTGCCATCACAGTAGACAAGCTCTCCACAGAGCAAGAGCAAACGTTAATTTCCGGCATCAGAATCCATCCATGCCAAGGATCCCTGAATTGCAGCGAAACCTTCGCGACCCGACTCCCTCTCCCGCTGGGTCAACCCCCCCAAGCTGACGGGCGGGCCGCAAAGCTGCAGGCGCCGGCTCAGTGCTCAGGGCAGCGCCGCCCGGCGATCGGCCTCCCCGGCTCGGCCCACACTGCGGCGGCCGCGCCCGGCGGGGGGATCCGGGGGCCACGCGGGCGGACGGCCCGACTCGTCCACGGCGCGAGGCCGGGGCGCGGGCGGGGGAGGGGCGGCGTGCGCGCGCACCGCACACCCGGCCGCCCGGGGACGCCCACTCGCGAGTCGCGGCCGGCAGGCCGGCCCCGGGGCCCGTCCGAGTCCTCGCCCCCCGCCCCCCCAGCCCGATTCCTGTCAGGCGTGCGCCCAACGGGTTCGGCCCTGCAGCTGATTGTGTGCCGTGTGAGAACGAAGAGCACCCGGCCGCGGCCCCGCGTCGCGCCGCGCCGCGCCGCTTACGAGTGCTGCCGTCTTAACCGGAGCGGCCCGCCCGAGCGAGGGAGAGAGCCGGGGCGGCGCGGCGGAGGGCTCCCCGCGGCCGCAGGCAGGAAGGAGCCGACCTCTGGCCGCCGGAGGTGCGGCTGCCGCCGGCGGCCGCCGGCCTTCCCAGAGCCGAACGAGGAATGCACCACAGGCGCCTGCCCCTGCCTCTGGAACCGAGGGCCGTGGCTCGGCTCGTCCCCACGCCGCCGAGGCGCCGGGGTTCGGCCACCGCAGCCGGGCGCGGCAGGGTGAGCGGCGGCCTCGCTCCGACAGCCGAAGCCGGGGTTCACTGAGCCGGCCGCGGCCGGGAGGAGGAGCCGCCTCGCCTCCCCTCCCCCCTGCACACGCCGGGGCTTCTCAGTGGCCGCCCGAGGAGGAAGTTCCGCTCCCTGACAGACCCGTGCGGTAGCAACAGCGGCGGCCGTTGGTGTGCCGGGGGACTCAGGTATTTCGGACGCGATCGCCCCTTCGCGCCGGTCGTCGACGGGGTGCAGCGGAGGAGCCCGCCCGGCGTCGGGAGCTGCCTGGTCAAGGCGGCGTGGGCAAGCGCGGCCGGCCGGGAGCGCCTTCCTGCCACTCCACGCCGCTCGGCTGCTGGGTCCCCGCGCCTCGGCGGACACCTTCCTCCCTCTCCGCAGACTTCCGAGAAGACCCATTATTTCTACCCACGGAGGTTAGGAGATTCTGGAAGAACAGGGGAACATCAAAGGATCCTTCTCTTCCAACACGTCGGATCTCGCCAGGCTCCTTTTCTTGGGGGGGCCGGGGGGTGCTGGGGTGAGGGACCCCATTCCAGCATCTCAGTGGGGTGTAGGAATGGAGGGACCCACCTTGGAGCTTATCTGCAGTGTGGCTTGCCTGGTCTTCGCTTAGGAATGAAGAGGAGACTTGAGCTAACCCGACCAGGTGCGGACAGCCAAATGGCCAGGAAGCTATCACAGGACGTAAACTAGAGATCGTTGGAGGCGGTCGCGCAGGTTTCTGAATGTAATTGAAAGAGGTGTCCCTTTTGGAAAGCACAAATATCCTTTCAGAGAAGAGAGATCGAATCTTTCTCACCGCCATCCTCCTCCACCCCCATTTCTTTGGCCAAAATTGTGCAAACAGTCGGATGCGTTGTGCACTTTGTCTAAGATGAGAACTTGATGCGGTGTTCCGTCCCAGAGCCTAAAGGATGACTGCCCCAGCCCTGCTGCCCCTGTCTGGACGTCGGATACCGCCTCTGAGCCTGGGGCCGCCCTCCTTCCCGCACCACAGGGCTACCTTACGACTCTCGGAGAAGTTCATCCTGCTCCTTATTCTTAGTGCCTTCATCACCCTGTGTTTTGGGGCATTCTTCTTCCTGCCAGACTCTTCGAAACACAAACGCTTTGATCTGGGGTTAGAAGATGTGTTAATTCCTCACGTAGATTCCGGCAAAGGGGCTAAGAACTCTGGAGTCTTCCTGATCCATGGACCGGATCAACACAGGCACAGGTTGGTTTATTGGAGAAGTTCTGGTGTCTGCGTGCTGGGGCACATTCAGATCTGTTGCCTTTTCCTGTATGTGTTTTTGCCGTGAAGATGTTCTGTTTCGAGTGCTCTTAGTGGGGTTTCTAGTTGAGAACTGGGTGGGCAGAGTCCCACCTCAGCTTGGGTTGCTGCCTCTTACGTTGGAGGGACATTGATGGTTGGCGTTGTCCGACGCGGACAGTGAGAATGGAGAGATGAGAACCTCAAGAGTGACCCACGCTGCATTTGGGTCTGGTTAGGACCGCGTGGCACTCTGCAGCTGTGCCACCACCGTGCAGTCAACACCCTGAGGCGCGCCAGCTCCCCTGGCTTGGCGCTGCTGAAGGGCTGTCTTGTTATTTAAGCTTCAGGTGAATCTTAGTTTTTTAGGATGACAGAGAGCAGGTTGTACCTGTGTGATTCTTAACAAGTCAGACGTCCTTGATGCATGCTGTCTTCATGGGATGTGCCTCAGTTTCCTGTTCATTACCAGTTTAACATATCATTAGACCCTAAGTCATTTCACTTTGGATGTATTTAAGAATATATTTAAAAACTTAATTATATACCAGGCTTTTTTTTTTTTAGTGTGAATATGGATCACATGTAACAACTGTTAGACTTTGATCCAAGTGAGCTCTTGGCAAGGATTAGCGATTAAAACAGAGCTTTTAGCTACAATTCCTGTACAACATGTATGCATTTTTGCTCTGAATATCTTGGGAAAGTAATCTACTTTTCTCAGAAGAAGCATCTTTCCCTATTTTCAGAACAGTTCTGGGATTTATGAAAAATTATGTGCTTGAGTTCAGTTTTCAACTGCTGTTAGTTTTAAGTTAGTATCAAGCGGGAGAGTTATGAAAAAGCTTTAAAGGCATGGGAATGGGAACCAGTTTTCTCTCGGCCTGGTTCATTACCTGATAGTTCTTTGACTCTTGGGCCGAACCTTAGGGATTAGTTACTTCTAATATTGTTGGTACTCTTGTCTTTGACTCAGTTAATTTGAATTTTATTTGCCATTTTCAGCTCACATTTTATTTTGGGTTTATTTCTTCAGTTGTTCCAGTTACCTTTGGTGGCTCCCAGGAAAATCTGCTGTCTGTGGAATGTTATTTGAACATTAGCACTTATAGTGCTGTGAAAATCCTTCTTTAAAACCCTTACTTCCCATTTGTGTAAATTGTGATGAAAATTTGAAAAGAAATGTGTTAAAACCGACTTCAGAGCCCTTGGGCAGCAGTTGTGCATTAACATTAGCGCAGTGAGATCCATAAACTAAGCAGTTTCCTCTGAGTTTTGTGTGGTCTAAAGTAAAAAAAAAAAAAAGGCCAAATTCTGTTTAAAAAACATTTACATGTAGAAAAATTCGTAGCAATGAAAACGTAAAATTTGAAGGAAACAGGTGGATGCATTTTATTTATGTTTTTAAAAATTTACTCAGTGCACTCAAACAAGAATTGTTACATTTATATAGCTTGTGAATGGATAGGAATGAGTGTTTTTGCCATCCCAAACCTTTGGGACCCTGAGTGTGAAGTGAGAGATTGGTTATTGAGCTGATGGCAAGGGGTGGTGAATCTGAATGGGTCACATGCTGAGTTTTGGATATTGAAAGTCTGGATAGGAAGTGCTAAGAGGTGAGAATTTATTATAATCTATTTGGTTCTTGAATTTTAGAAAGTGAGAACTCACCAGAGTTCAGATAGTGAAAGGTCCCTGTTTTACATCTTTGTGTCTTTCTATGTTCTGGCAATTTATATGTTAATTGTTGCTGGTTACTGTATAAGTATCTGAAGTCATAGTTTATAATGATAAAAAATCTTTTATTTTGAGCAAGGAAATATATTTTAACTTTAATATGTGGCAGCAAAAATACCAAATTAATTGATCCGCTAACACTTAAAATTAATTCAGAGGCAGCGTTTTAACAGCATTAGTACTAAAAGCATACCTGTTTGAGGTATAAGTCAAAAATTCTTTAAACTTAAAAAATACAAATTGACAGTTTTATTTTAATTTGGCATGTGTATGGAAGGGCACAGTTCAGGAAACTTTAGCTGATAAGTAATCAGAGTTCTTAGAGATCATTAATGAACTTGGTGTTTCTTATTTATTTATCTGTTTATTGTTAAAGCTTATTTTAATTTTTATTTGAAAGGCAAAGTTACAGAGAGAAGAGATAGAGATCTTCCATCTGCTGGTTCCTTCCCCAGAGCTAGGCCAGGAGCTTCTTCCAGTCCTCACGTGTGGGTGCAGAGGCTTGAGGACTTAAGGGCTGCTGCTTTGCTATGCCCCGAGCAGAGGGCTGGCTTTGAAATGGAGCAGTTTGGATTGGAACTAGCGTCCACATGGGATGACAGCACCCATGGAGGTGGAGGATTAGCTTGCTATTCTGCTGTACAGGCCCCTTGGTGATTCTTTCTTCCTCCCTGCCTGCCTGCCTTCCTTCCTTCCTCTTTCTTCCTTTGCTTCCTTCCTTCCTTCCTTCTTTTCTCTTTTCTTTTTTTTTCTCTTCTCTTTCTCTTCTCTTCTCTTCTCTTCTCTTCTCTTCTCTTCTCTTCTCTTCTCTTCTCTTCTCTTCTCTTCTCTTCTCTTCTCTTCTCTTCTCTTCTCTCATCTTTCATCATACGATTCCTTAGGCTCAGGGATGTCCCCTTCCATCCTTCTTCCACTCCCCACCTCCCACTGATTTCCCCTATATTGTAATGATAGTTGAGTACCTCAGCAACGATCACAAGTCTGTCATTTATTTAAGTGTATCCTGACATTGTAGCTATAGAAAATGGTATAAAGTCAATCATTCTAGTGTAAGGATATATTTAGAAGTTTCATTGGAAATCCTTCTTTTACAGAATTAGAGATACATTGTTTATATATCTCTATTTTATGGTATACTTGCCTCCATTATACAGATCCTCTAGATAAATATATGTATGTATATATATATGTGTGTGTGTGTCTTGTATTCTGCATGAAGGTTTTGCTGGCATAGATGTGAGGAGAAAGGTACCCTACTTCACTGTTAGTGGGACTGTAGGCTACTACAACCACTATGTAAATCAATGTGGAGAGTGCTAAGAGAATTGAAAACTGATTTGCTGTGTGACCCAGCTGTCCCACTTCTGAGAATATATCCTAAGGAGGTGAAATCTGTATGAGAAAGGTGTTTTTTTCTTTTTAATGGATTAGTTTAGTATAGTACTTTGGTGTTTCCCAGGTGTGGAATCAAGCTGTATGGATTCATGCCTCAGTATACTATTGATTTAGATGTGTAATCTTGAGCAAATTTTTAAACTCTATGCCAGAGTTACTTCCTTTGTGTGGTGGTGATATCCTCTTTGCAGGTTGTTATATTGAAAGTGACAATGATATGCAAAACATCAACGTAGTTCCTAGCATTTAATAGGTTATCAGTAGATATTATCTGTTGTTAGTAGTAATTACAACTGAATATTTCAATTTTGCATTTACTTTGTTTTAAATACACCCTATGTTTCTGAAAAGGTGCATATCCCAGAATCTTACTATCTAAAAGGGAACATTTCATAACTAAACTAGTTACCGATAGATGTGTATTTCGTGCCAACGGTTTAGGTCCTGCTTTTTGGAGTTCTCCATCTGGGGACAGTAATGAGTATTAAATAAATAATTCTGTTTTTGATGTAATGGGTGTTAGGGAGCTATCATAGCACATAATGGGGTGAGCTTACCTGTGCACTGTTAGCAGGGAGGAGCAGTGGAAGCAGGGAAGGTTTCCTTGAGGAAGTGATGACTCAGACTTGGAGCAAATAAGAAATGGGCAAGTGATGTGGAGATGGGAAACAGTGGTCAAAGGAAGGACACAACATGTTTGAGTGTTCTAATGTAAAACAGCTTGGTATCATTGAGGCTCTGAGAATTGCTTATTACGGGTAATGTAGAGAAAAGCTGTGTAGGTCTAGGGAATGAAACCACATGAGAGGTCAGATTTGGCCCACGTACCAATGTTACAAGTCTGGATTAGCTGCCAGCATTCATATATCAAGTGATTTCACATAAAAGTCTGGATTTCTGATTTCTCTGAAAAATTAGAGGATATAGCAAAATTACATCTCTTTTCAGATTCTTAATTAGTAGGTGGAAGCTGGTAGCAGCTATTTTTTTTTTTAAGAGGGGCATGAACTTTCCATTTTGTGACATCCAGTTAAAGTGCCATATAAATAAATAACCATGAATGAGTATTTAATTTGTTTGTAAATTTACAGTCCATATATAGGGTGCTGGAGAGTTTGTAGGTTAATATGTTGGCCTTCATTCCAAGTAGTATGGAAAGTTGTTGAAGGAGTTTAATAAAAGCAAGTGAATAACATCATTGTCTTGTATTTTTAAGATTGTGAATTATCATTTCTGTTGCAGTGATTCTTTACTGGATGCAGGAGAGCAGGAGGGTCACCAGTCATGGCAGTCTTTCACTAGACCACTGAGAGTGGAATAGGATATGAATTATTGGAGAAAAGGAGCCAATTCAAGATCAGAAGTTAAAGAGGGGGTTGGTGTTGTGGGGTGGCAGGTTAAGCCTCTGATTTTGAGAGTGGCATCAGCTTCTTGATAATGTACCTGGTAAGGAAATGAGTAACACTTCAAATGCTTGGGATCCTGCTTCCCGTCTAGGAGACCAGACTGGTGTGTGTCAGGGGGAGGTGGTCCTGGCTTCTGCCTGGTCCAGCTGTGGCAGTTGCATCTATTTGGGGGTTGAACAAGTAGACAAAAGCTACTCTGTTTTTCTGTCTCACTCTATAACCTCTTCTTCCCTTCTGCCTCCCTACTCCACTCATTCACTCCGTGTTGCTTTGCTTTTTGATTAGGTAAATAAATCTTCAGAAAAAGAGTTGTTAAACCATTAAGTTTCATAGAAGTAGTGATTGCTTTGTTATGTTGAGTCAGGGCCTAAAGTAGGAGGAGGAACGAGTCAATGGTCATGGATTATTAAGAAACATACAACTGTA